CTAGACCCACACTGAAGTCATTCAAACATGTAACCAAGAGCCCCCCCAAAAAAAAAAAAATCAGTCAAGGAAGGAAAAAACTAAAGGCACTGAAATACCTACTACTGTGATACTCCAGAAATAATACTTTTCACTACCTCCTCTGTCCCACTGAAGCCTAAAAACACCTCTCTATATTTTTTTTTTATTTGGAGTCTCACTCCATCACCCAGGCTGGAGTGCAGTGGCACATTCATGGCCACCCCAGTGTCAACCTGCTGAGCTCCAGTGATCTTTCTGCTTCAGCCTTCCAAGTAGATGGAACCACAGGCGTACGCTACCATAACCGGCTAACTTTTTGATTTTTATTGTAGAGATGAGATCTCACCAAGTTGCCCAGGTTGGTCTCGAACCCGTGGCCTCAGGCAATTCTTTCACGTCCGCCTACCAAAGTGCTGGGATTACAGGCTTGACCTACTACATCCGGCCATACCTCCATATTTTACAGTGGGATTGTTGAGACCCTGTCTCTAAGATAAAAATTCTTTTAATTCAAAAAGAAAAAAAAAGTATAGGCATAGTTGCTCACACTTGTAATCCCAGCACTTTGGAAGACTGAGGCAGGAGGATCGTCTGAGCCCAGGAGTTGAAGACCAGCCAAGGCAACAGTGAGACTCCTTCTCTCAAAAAAATTATTTTAATTATAAAGAAAAAGAAAAAAAACTGATTGTTATTGCAAGCACTTTGATCTTAAAGAAAAACAAATCTCAGCCGGGCCCGGTGGCTCATGAGGTCTGTAATTCCAGCATTTTGGGAGGCCAAGGTGAGGGTATTTCCTGAGCCCATGGGTTCAAGAACAGCCTGGGCAACTTGGCAAGACCTCATCTCAACAGTAAATTAAAAAATTATCCAGGCATGGTAGCACGCGCCTGTAGTTCCGGCTACTTAGAAGGCTGAGGCAGAAGGATCGCCTGAGACCAGCGGGTCAATGCCTTGAGCATGCTGCACTCCAGTCTGGGCGACAGTGTGAGACTCTGACTCAAAAAAAAAAAAAAAAAAAGAATAAAGTCATCAACAAAAAGGCATTCAGCAAAAACCAAACACTACAAAACAGAACATTTCTCTTTAAACTTCAAGTTCCACAATATAATTTGCTACGTTCTGGAGACAAATGCTTGTTTTAGTTTGTAATGGCAGAGTCTTGAGAGGTCAACATAGCGAGTGGGGATGACACAAAGAATACTGTACCCTGACCAGAGAAGCTCCGACAGTTCTAAAAGACCAAGCAACTCGACTGTCTAACATCACCTGTGTATCATCTGACAACAGAACAGACACTAGGTGCCAACTGGAACTTAAAGTAAACACATACTATCATAGAAAGTGTTTGTTCTAATATGCAGTAAGCCTTGTCTTCTATATTTTCATTCATTTCAGGATCTCAATTTTCATGAGACTCATTTGGCCAATTTCCTTGCTCTGTAGAGAATTGCACTTAAATGAATGACACTTAAATGGGCTCTACTTAATCATTTCTTAGGAAACCTATATTCTTAAATTTTTAGAGATCCAAGTTCTGACATGAGAAGGCTACAGGCACAACCAGTCACCTTCCAGTGAAGGTGAGTGATGCTGTGCAGAAGTATCTTCCTCTACTGGATGCTCTGTAAGTATTTCACAAAAGAAAAGACAGGCAAACCGGCCTGTTTTCAGGAGACAGACACATTTTAAAAGTTATTCTAAGCCGGGATCGGTGGCTCAGCCTGTAATCTTGCACTTTGGGAGGCTGAGGTGAGTGGACTGCCTGAGCCCGCGGGTTCAAGACCCGCCTGGGCAACTTGGCGAGACCTCATCTCTACAATAAATCAAAAAATATTAGCCGGGCGTGGTAGTGCGCGCCTGTAGTTCCAGCTACTTGGAAAGCTGAGGCAGAAGGATCGCCAGAGTCCAGCAGGTCAAGGCTGCGGTAACCGGGAGCGTGCCACTGCACTCCAGGCTGGGTGACAGAGTAAGACTCCAACTCAAAAAAAAAAAAGTTATTCTAGAGATGTGATCGCGAGGCTCCTTTAACAACTCTCCTGGTATCTAGTTTAAAAACACACCTACCACAAAGTTCAGCTCTGACTTCACTATAAAAGAAAACATGTTAGCTCTATTGTCCACTTCCTCACTATCAAAAAAACCTGCAAACTTTTTGGTTCCCCCTTTGGAAGTTCCAGTCTAGGCGCTATTTCCATTTCCCCCCCTGCTTTTTCCAGGCTTCATTCTCATTCTCTGATGGTGGCTTTTACGGACCTAAATGGCCTGGAACATGCAATCCAACAGTCCCACATATAACTCTGGACCTCAATTTAGAAAATCTGTTCTTTTCCAAATAGACATCCTACACAAAATAATTTTTTAAACATTAAGTAGCAGCCGGGCTCGGTGGCTCAGCCTGTAATCCCGTGGCTTTGGGAGGCTGAGGTGAGTGGATTGACTGAGCCCACGGGTTCAAGACCTGCTTGGGCAACTTGGCAAGACCTCATCTCTACAATAAATCAAAATGAGCCGGGTGACAGAGTGAGACTCCAACTCAAAAAAGAAAAACAAAAAACATTAAGTAGCATTTTGGTAGAAGCAATTGGTAAAGCCAGTAACACCAAAATAGTTTTCAGATTTTTTTAAAAAGTGGCCATAATGTAGGGACTTTTCTTACCAACAACCACTTCCCATCGGATTTTTATTTTCCAACTCCCAGCAGTGTCAAAGGGAAAAGGATTAAAATGAAACTCACAAATTAACAAATATAAGGAGCAGAAAAACCTCCTGCATAGGAGGAATGCCTAGTCCCTCAACAGTGACCATGCCAGACCCTTCCTTTGTGGGTGCTTGTCCTTCGATGCCTGCCCGGGCAGGCTATAAATGAAGTCCTTAATCTAGCCAGAGCGGTGCTGGTGGCTCCAGAGAAACGAATATGCAGAAAAGCAAATGACTGGATAAATGGGCTCTGCAGGATAAGGTCCAGGGAAACAGCCACTTTCAGGAGAAAGTGAACTAGTTTAGGGAGTCAAAATGGCCTGATGTAAATCAAGAATCAAAAGTTACACTGCCTTGTTCTAATACCCACACAAGTAAAAGAAATACGATAGTCAGTAAAACAACCTAATTGTGTGTTCACATATGTACATCACAAAAGTATTTCTCCAAACTCTATCTTTTTACCTCCAGAGAGAACAAACTGGCAAAAGTTTCTGAAGGAACCAAACTCCTTGAGCACTTTATAATATCTACTTACCTAGAAAAATACAATTCAGAATTTTGTAGAGAAAAAACAATATGCTCACACTTAAAATGAATTGGAAGTCTATGATCCAGCTCACCGATGTCCTGGCTAAATAATAAAAGGATATTCAGCCTTCCTTTTTCATTTTCTCTTTAAAGCAAAATGATAGTGCCTTAAAAAAGCACCACTGTGAGGAGGACACCTAAGTGCATTCATTTCGCATCCCTACAAATTCAGTACCTGCAAGCATGCTACCCACCACAAGATAAAGCACCCTTGAGAATACTGAAGTTCACTCACTTGACATTCCTACAAAATCAGTACCTGCAAACATGCTACCTACCACTTAAGCAGCCCCTAATACAGAAAGATTTGTAATGATCAAACAATTCAAAATCATAGAAAGTATGTCCACTAGCTAGGCCAGGAAAGCACATGAGAACTATTAAGCTATAACGAACACCCAAGTGTCAAGAATAGACTAGACTACTGACACATGAACGCGATGAGTGAGTTATACCAAGCAAGCTGAATAAGGTCAACGACTTTACACCAGTGAAAATTCTAAACGTGTCACCGATAAAGAAAAAAAGTCTAAATCCCACTTAAGAAAAAAAGGCACACAAGTCAACAGTTTCCCATCACAGAGTGAAGAAGCTTGACAGGCACACGAAACACCAAGGGTAAGAAAGATCTTTGTATCGATAGCCAACAGTTTCTGCCCGATCGCAGGGACTGCAATGCATCTCGGGATTCCTTCAGGACTGTTCGGGGCCACAGATACTCGAAACGTAGTTAGTCTCAACAGTAGAAACTGCAGCCAGAGACACCCTCTCGGCCACGCCAAGGTGAATGGGGAACTCGGGCATCTGTGCTCCCCCCTCCTACGACCGCTCAACGCCCACCCGCCCACGCCGGGTTCCATCTGTCCTCACTTCTGGCCTTCGTGGCACTACCCGCCGCGGCCCCGCTCCGTCCCATACGGTTCCCACTTCAAGGGGGCAACAGCGGCCCCCGGGGAAAGGGCAGG